CTGGGGGTCTTCCTCTTTTTCTCTGACCCTCCACCTTACCAAACATGATATCCTTCTCCAGTGACTGGTCCCTCCTGACAATATGTCTGAAGTATGAGACATGAAGTTTGGCCATCCTGGCCTCCAAGGAGCACTCTGGGTGTACTTCTTCCAACATGGATCTGTTTATTCTTTTGGCAGCCCATGGTACTTTCAATATTCTCCTCCAGCACCATAACTCAAAAGCAGTAATTCTTCTATGGTCTTCCTTATTCACTGTCCAGCTTTCACATGCATATGGTGCCTACTGGCTGACAGCAGTTTTATGAGCTCCCAGCGTTTCCCTGCTCACTGACCCACTCCCTCCCCCGCCACACACACACACACACTCTCTCTCTCTGTCTGGCTCTCTCTCTCTGGGGACTGGGCATTTAAAGGGGGTCTTTCTGACCTTCCACCTTCTTTCAGGAGCAGTGGGTCTTCTCAAATACAAAATGAAATGTGTACTGAATTCTCCTGTGCGTTCTTAATAGTGTATGTAGCTCTGGTTACTTTCAACCTAGAGTCCCTGAGTGGCACTGGACTGCAAGGTCAGTTTAAACCTCAAGGTCGGTGGTTCAAGCTCACTAGTTGCTACTCAGAAACCCTGTACAGGGTCGCTATGAGTCGGAACCAACTCGATGGCACCTAACAACAATAACTTTCAACCTAAGTGTCTGAATGGTATCAGCAGCAAATGGCTTCTTTTCTGGTGGAGACCAGAGGGAGTCCCCTGGGACATCTCTATCACTTCACAGCCTCTCCCCGGGTGAGTTCGCTGGGCCGGAGGGTGACAGGACTTGACCAAGCGCTGCTGAGGAACCTGGCAGAATCAGGATGAGCGAAGTGGGAGCCTGTCCATCCCCTCAGTATTGGAAAGGCCTGTTTTCGCTTGGGATCCCTTTTCCCCAAGACTGGTGTGGCCCAGAAACCCACCACTCTGCACAGTTTCAGTTTTGTTTTGTTTTTTAAACCATTGACCAGTGATTGGGAGCAAGTTAGCGTGATTTTTATCTTTCCCCAAATGTTAAAAATTGGTGATTTGACCTGGGGAAAACCCACAGCCTGCCGTTTAGATACTTGACTCTGCCGACAGATCTGAAGGTCATTCATTACCAGGTGTGCTCGAGCTCTGGCTCCTGCCTCATCATCCGGTCCCCGGGCAGCATCTCCCTGTGCCAGGCCTTCCTTGTGCTGGTCCTGAGGAGGCAGATATCTAGGCAGCTGCCCATCCCTGAGCAGGTGGTGGCCCTGTTGTTACCCTGATGCACAGCTGAGGAATCTGAGACCAGAAAAGGGTGCCAGCGAGTGTGGGGTAGAGCTAGAATTAGAATCTGAGTCCAGACAGTCATTCATTCTCCTTTGGCCACTCGCCTGTCTCAGCACAGCACGTGCCCCGTAACAAGCGCTCCCTGGCAGCAATAGGGTGAAGAGTCTGCCTGAAGTGAGGGTTGTGTGTGAGCTTTCCTTCAACCCTGTCTCTGCCCTGCCTCCTACCAGGAAGCTGATCAGCATCTCCTTTGGGGACCTGAACCCCTTCCCCTTGCGCCAGATCCGGAACCGGCGCACCTACCACTTGGAGAAGGTACGCCTGGAGCTGACAGAGCTGGAAGCCATCCGTGAGGACTTCCTGCGTGAACGGGATGCCAGCCCTGACAAGGGGGAGCTGGTCAGCGACGACGATGAGGAGGACACTTGAGTGGATGCCCCCCTCCCCGCAAAACAGGACGCTGCTCTTCTTGTCTTCACAACCAAAGTGTGCCAAAAGGGTGACCTACTGAGGTCTCGGCTTGCCTGAAGCCAGAGTGTAACACTGTGGTCTCTGGAAAGCTGCCGGGCAGATGTCTAAAGCCATACTGCACTTTTTCATATTCCACTTGGGGTGGGGAGCAAATCTGTTTACAGCTATCTTCATGCCATAGTGTTTTGGTGACACATATCAGGGTCATGATTTCCGTCCGATGAGTGAACCGGCAGGCTTTCCAGCTGGCTGCAGTCAAGCACTGACAATCTGTCAGTGGTGCTGTTTGCACCCTTAGAAAGCCTTCCTTGGCAGGGCTGGCCCCTGCCTTCTCTCCATGTGCTGGCAGCCACACACACTGTTTCAGTGCCTTGCATGGGCTTCAGGGTCAGCTTGGAGAAGGGGACTTAGAAAAGCAAGCACATCCCTTGTTCAGAGTGGCCTGTGGATAAATGAATCCTGAGCCTTCCGGGGTGGGGGTGAGGGGGTGGGGATGGCCGCACATCACCAGGCTCTGTCCCAGTTCAGTTCTGGAATAGCTTTGACCTTTTGTGTGTTGTTGTTGTTGTTATGTGCCATCGAGTCGGTTCCGACCCATAGCGACCCTGTATAGGGTTTCTGAGGGTGTAAATCTTTACGGGAGTAGAAAGCCTCATCTTTTGTGTAAGTCCTTTCAAAAAGTGACGCCCAGTCAGCTTGGGGCAGTCCAGCCCTCCCATGTGCCACTCAGACTTCTCTTGGCCCACTGGCATTTGCAGGTGGAAAGCTCTTGTGCCCACCTGAGGATAGACTCCTAGAGCCCATTCTCCAAGTGGGGGTGGGATGCCCCCCAGTAAGCTGCCTTGAACTGGCCTTGGGTGGGGGGTGGGCAGAGCAAGCATCTCTGTCTCTGGAGTGCTTGCAGGCAGCAGGGCAGCTGCTGGTAAGAAGCCCCAGGCCTTGGCCTCCTCAGGAAGTCTGGTACCTCTTGGTATCTCTCTACTTGGCAGGGACTGAGGGGTGGGGAGGGCGCTGCAGGTACCCTGGGGCTGGGCAGTGCCCTTCCTTGGGGCCAGGGCTTTGGTGAGCATGCTTCCACTGCCACCCAGAAGCATCCTAGCTCTCCTCAAGCCAAGCACAGTGTTCACCTGTGGACTTAATGGGATTTCTGGACTGTCTGGCCACCGCCCAGGTAATATCTATGGTGGTGGGGGATGATTCTCAGACCACCTCACTGTTGGTGAAGCCCTGGAGCGAGGCCCACCCATCCCTGATGTGAAGATGCTGTTTTCTGGCACAGTATTATTTGAATATAAGAGAAACCGTTTCCATGGAATCCTTTACACTACTAGGCAGAAATTGAAGCTCATCCCTAGTTGATATTATTACGCATACTCAGACTAGGAACTGAAGCAATGTTGTCTCAAGAAGTGCTTTTTTGAAAAATACAAGTATGTTTTTTCTCCTTTTTCCTCTCAGCGCTCCGGCAGCAGTAGGGTAGCTAAGATAGGAGTGACCAGTGGTCTGAGCTCCCCTTTTCTGTCTTTGATTTATGACTATGTAACGGGAAGAGGTTTAAACATATAGTCAGAAGCCTAGCTCTCTTTTCAGATACCAGAAGTGTTTTACAATTTTTGTTTGTTTGGGGTGAGTAGCTGTTTGAGAGCCAACTTCTTAAAGGAAGTTACCTAATTGGGGGTGGGGTCTCTCCCTATGGTGGACTCTGCAGTCTCACTGTTGTTCACAGAGCCCCTGCAAGACTTCATCAGGGTACTGGACCCAGGCACTGGAGACCCCAACCCCTCACCGCCCCCACACTGGGGGCTGTGGGTCTAGAGGACAGCTGCTGAGTGGTGCAAAAGCCATGGTTTGGGGTCCCTGCATCGGCTTCAGCTTCCCTCCACTTCCCTGGACCATACCGGCCTAAGCTGCCACATCCCTGGGCTAAAATGCCCCTACAGGAAAGGGTCCAGTTGGCTCTGACAAGATGCATCTTAAAAACATGAATGGGGGCCTGCCCTGTGTGGCTGTACCCCCTGATGTCTGCCGTTTTGAGTGACAGCTGTGTCGTGGAAAAAATTGACTGAAAAGATCACGAACGTTTTGAATCCCCCTTGTATTTCCAGGGCAGTTACTGTCAGTGGCCAGGCAGTGGGCAGCCCTGCAGAAATGGACAAGGGACACTTCCTGAAGTAATGTGCAGGCGTCCAGCATGCGGGAGAGGGGATGCTTGGTCTGGTGGGGTCTGTCCTCACTAGTTTGTACCAACACATCTCCCCTTGTGCCTCTGAGAAGACAAGCTGCTCCATTCTCCACCCCCACCCCCATGCTCCCATGCCCACGCCTCTCCTGACAGGAACTGCCATAGCTGCTCCTCTTCCAAACACCAGCCAGCCCATCGCTCCTGCAGGGGCAGCCTGCATGCCACCCACCCATGCCAGCGCAGCCACTGCCAGCTTTGAAGTTGATGGGTTTTCTGTTTTTTTTTTTATGGGTTGAACATCTGTTACTATTTTGTATATTCTCACTACAGTTTATATTTTTATAGGCTATTGTATCAAGGATTTTCTACATTATATACACCTACTTTGTGTAACAAGTTCTCGTTTGGGTGTGCACTTACGCCAACCAGACATCTTTGCTCACTCTCTGCTTCGGTGCCATATTTCACATGCAGCCCTGAGCATCACTTGCCCACGTCTTACCCCAGGTAGTCTTGGAGCTACTTGCAGACATGCTGACAGCTGTGTAGTTAGCAACCCAGACGGGTAATTGCTTGAAATGCCTCTGCTCAGCTATGTAATATTGTGTAGGATGTATTCTAAGCAAACATTCCCAGTTTTAAAGAAAACAAAACAACCCTGACGTGTTTGTGTTGTTGCACAAATCCCAACTCCACACTTTGTGCAGTGTTGTCTTCCTGCATTTGAGCGGCGTCCAGGGAAGCTGGGCCTGCCTGGAAAGGTCTCCATGGGGAGGTAGGGCAAAGGACCACAGGTGTGCCGCTCCGCAGCCCCACTCCCCAGACTATGGCAAGGGACTCTTCCTTTTATGCTCCTGTGCTGATCCAGAATTGTAATACTAAAGGGAAAAATAAACCAATTTGTAGACCTTTGGGGCTTGAAATGCAATTGTAGCCACTTGTGACAAAGCTCAGCCCACGGCCTTGGAGGGTGGGGTAGGGTGGGTGGTTCACTCTGGGCTGAGTAGCTCAGGTGGGAAGGTGCCCCTCCTGCTCTCAGCTGTGAGATGCCCTGCCTGAGTCATGGGCTTGTTTGTCTCCTGCCTGGGCTGACGGCTCAAGCCCAGCTGCCCCTGAGGACACCACATCCCCACCCCCACCCCCACCATCGGAAAAACACAGGAGAATGATTAAGACCAAATGTCTTTCCACAGGGAGGGGAAGGGAAGGCAGCTACGGCAAGGATTCCCAGACAGCCTCTATCTCCCCTGGGGAGGGCGGGGACTCCTGGGATCATACAGCATAGCAGCTGCAGAGCTGGGACTGGTCAGGGCCGAGCTCTTCTCCCTGTCCCTGGTAAGGGGGTTGCCCCAACGGTCAGTTTTGGCTAAGCCCTGGAACGCCATTACTCAGAGGTGAGTCCCTAGGGCCTCCCAGGGCCAGACAGGCTGCTGTGAGCAGACAGGAAGCAAGCCTGATGCTCCTCCACCCTCCAACAATAGCGTGGTTAGTGATGCCTGAGGTCACACAAGCTTGTGACAGCTGCCCTCTGTAAACCCATCAGGGGGAGCCCAGAGCTCAGAGGCAGGAGATGGGGCTCAAGGCTGGACATGAGCCACTGCCTCCAGGGCCTGCGCCCTTGGGCCGGTCACTTTCCTCTTAGCACCTCAGGCTTCTCCTATGAAAATGGAGTGTCCTGTAGTTACATAGGTAAGACTCAGAAGTGTAGAGCAGCTATGTACACCAGCACTTCCCGTCCCTCCACACGGGGCATGCTGGGAAAGGCCGGTTGCTGACTCACTCTGCCTCTGAAACTGCTGCTTGGTCTCAGTCCTCAGAGTAGTGGTGGTCAGTGTCGCCCTGCTCCTCCAGACTCTCCCATCCTTAGGCCGCCATAAGCACAGATCCAGGGCCTCCACTCCCATTACGTTCTCTGAGTGGTCTGCACCGTAGAAGAGAATGCACTTGGTGTCCCCTGGACTTCTCTGAACCTGACATCCCTGCTTGGAGAAGAGGCGTGATGCCTTCCAGGAGTAGGACTTTTGGGGAGGATGAAAAAGATCAGAGTCCAAGGCTTAAATTCAGAGAGGAAAAGAGGTAGATCCAGGCCCCAGCAGGCAAGGGCCACTTCCTAAGAGGTGCTGGGCTAGAAGGAGGCGTGTCTGCCGCTTTCCCTGACTCCAACCTTGGCCAATCTCCAGGGGCTGGTGGATACTGGTGATGTGCCACACCAGACTCCTACACCATACACAGAGGCACCTTCATGTCTGTCTGCTCCCCTGAAACCCGGGACAGAATGGCTGTAGACACCACCAGTGCTTCCTGCCTCCTGACTAGCCCAGGTTTCTTTACAAGCAATACAGGTAACCTCATACCCAGTGGACAGGTGAGGGATATGGGGCCCCAACAGCTAGGCTCTGTGTTGGGCTCAGATCATCTGGCTTTTCAGGCTGGGTGGTTCACCAAGGGACTAGATTTTGCAGGTGGGGATGGGGTTGTGGGTGGGCAGGTGCCAGAATCCTGGACCACAGTCCTTGTGAGTCTCAGGCCAGTGTAGCAGAAGCCTGACACCCAGAGGTGGAAGTCAGGAAGGGACCCCATGAATGTTAGCTGCCTAGCCTTGTCCTTGAGCAGGGAGATGAAGGGCAGGGATACGTGGAGACTAAGAGGGGTTTGGTGGGCTCTTCTGCCCCTTCCTCCACCCCTACCTCCCACCCCCCAGGAGGGTCCCTAGAGATGAGTGTACTCACATAGTACACCCCTCCACCCCCTTACACATACGAATTAGCATTTGCAAATGGCCCAGGGACTCCCAGACCCATCACCACCTGTCAAGGGAGCGTTCCCAGCTGGTGGTGAGACAGGCCTTGCTGTTTATTTAGGTGGGGAGGATGTGGTGGTTCCCCTGATGTAACCCAGGTCTCAGGAGTGGGTAAGGCTGGTGGGGCTAGGCAGGAAGAAGCATCAGGTAGAGGATACGCACCGTGTGAGAGCAGAGACAACCTCGCAGGCCTATGCAAAGCTGTACCCCATACCCAGAAAACCTGCGCCCTCCGCCCAGTCTAGTTGAGACTGCTGGTCCCACTTCCTCCAGGAAGCCACCCTTCATTTCTGACTCCTCCGCGCTAAGGAGCTCTGGTAGCGTAGTGGTTACGAATCGGGCTGCGAGCCTAAAGGTCAGCGGTTCGAAACTACCAGCCGCACCGCGGGAGAAAGATGAGGCTTTCTACTCCCGTAAGGATTTACACCCTCGGAAACCCTGTACAGGGTCGCTATGGGTCGGAACCGACTTGACGGCACTTAACAACAACAACATAACAACCGCGCTATCTGAAGCTCCATTCTCTGGGTGGACTGGTGTGCTCCCATCTCCCAGCTAATCTGCCCTCAATGTTGGGATTTCAGAAAGTAGACGACTGGAGTTTATAATTCTCGAAATCCAGGACAAAACCAGTCTGTTTTGGACCTGTAGATACTCAATTTATATACAATTATTATTATTAGAATAAATGTTACTCAAACTGTTAGAATAAAAAAATACCTTTTCTGAGGGAAATGAGGTCCCCAGCCTACGCGCTAGGGAGTCTGGGGTTAGCACCATTAGGGCGCGAGGGCGGGGCTCCGCTGCAGCCCTGGGCGAGGCGCTGAGGTCAGTGCGTCTGTCTGGTCGTCTGAGTCCTGGACCAGCCGAGGTCTTGGGCGCTGGGTCAGCGGCGAGCGACCCGCTGATGGCCACGGGATGGGGAGCCGCGGCCAGGTGGGGGGCATGTGCGGCAGCACTGGGTCCGGACGGTGGGCAGCTGGCAGCGGCCGAGCAGGCGCAAAGTCTCGCAGAAACCGAAGGACAGGCGATCCCGCTCGCAGCCTAGGGGCGGGGGAGGGGACGGGTTCCCGGGGCTTTTACCTGTGCCACCCTGCCCAGTCCCCAACAGCTGTAAGGGGACTGCGGCTCACACCGCCCACTGTCTGAGGGGCTCTCCAGCTGCCCTGCAGCCCTGCCCCCCACCGCCCGCCCACCAGGACTCGGGAAACTGGCATTTCTCCAATGCCTGGGTCTGCCCAAAGATCCCGTCCTGGTCAGTGGTCCCCACCCTATCTCTGCTCGCCCTGGAAGCCTCCCTCACAGGTCCTGGCACACAACACAGGTCCCTGCCAGCAACCGCCTGTGCCCTCCACCCCTGCCACCTCCTGTCCAAGTACATCGGTCCTGCCAGACCTCCAGCCCCGTGGGCCATAACCCAGAACAGAGTCCCGTAGGCCGGGCCAGCTGCCCTCCCCTGTCCCTCTCAGTTGGACACTGAGGTGCAGAGAGTGAGTGAGGCCATGGCTGGGCCCTCCTGGCCCGTGGTTATCAGAGCTATTTTTGGAAAGTGGCTTGTTTCCAGCCTCCTGATCTTGTTCCCACTGCTGCTGATAGTTCCCAGCTGTTGCTGGTGCCCCATTCACCACAGTCCAGGGTCCAAGACATCCCCAGGGGCCAGCCAAGGGCACGAGGCAGCAGGCAGGTCTCCAGCCACAGTTTTGTTCTCTGAGGGCACCTCCCTCACCATGTACGGAAGCAGCTGGACCCTACACATCTGCAGACCTGTGTCCTTGTCCTGCTGGGTGACCTCAGGCCGGCTTCCTAACCCCGAATGCCTCTCAGATCCCTCATCTGGAATAACTTCCACCTCTAATGGACAAACATGTGTGACGTGATTGCTTAACTCACCAGTGACTGCACGCACGCACTGGAGTCGAAGCTTTCTAAATGCTTCTCTACACACGCCATGAAAACAGCCTAGACATCCTGGAGTCTGTCTCCTCAGCTGCCCCTTCACCCTTTCCCCACACAGCAGAATACTCCCTCCTGCCCACCTCCATCCCAGGAGACCTTGCAAGTTGGGAGCCTGCCCACCCTGGTTCTACACTACACCCAAGAGCTTCAGCAGCTAGGGCCATAATTGCCAGGTGCTTGGAGATGAGTGTTAAGGGCAGGCAGGAGGCAGCTACACTGGGCCCTGAGGAGGTTGGGGGGAATTGGAGGCTGGGGCAGCAAGGCAGTGCCACTCTGGGCCTGGGCAAGGGCTGCCCAGAAGCCAGTGTCCAGTAGGGATTACTGTGTTGGGTGAGGAAGACAAGGCAAACTTGGCCGATCCTGGAGGCCGGGAACACCAGGCTGAGGGCCACCAACTGTCCTAGGGGTGGAGCAGACTTGGAGCCTCTGTGTTCAAGGCAATGCTAAGGCTCTGGGTTCCCTGGGCCATAGCCCTGCGGCTAGACCAGCAGAGACAGCCATGGGCCTGCCCCTGACCTCTGTGTGGGGGGCAGAGGGAGACCAGCTGGGAAGACAGAAGCCGGCCTTTCCTGAGACACCTTCTTGGTCCCCCACTCAAGACTTCACTGTGCTCCCCCCACCACCTTCACAAGGATGGGGTGTCAGAAGGAAGTGGGGGCCCAGAGAGGGAGGTGGAGTCTGAGCCCAGGTGTGAATTCAGGGCCACATGGATCCCTGTGCTCAGCCCTGCTGGAGATAGCTTAGGTTGCAGGAAGGAAGTCAGCCTCTGTGTGTGTGTGCGTGTGCGTGTGTGGTCAGAGCCACCTCTGGCTCAGGCCCTTCCACCAGGAGGACCCAGCTGGCCAGGAAGCCGCTGGGAGCAGTAGCACCCTGAGAGAGGCCCCTTCCTGTGGCTCCGGTACTCAAATCTGGGCAGTCCCCTGTAGCCACAGAATAGACAGGCTAGAGCTGGGGATGAGGGCTCACTCAGGCATTGGGACATCCACCTCCCTGGGTTCCCTTCACTCTTCCCGCTGCCTCCGGATGCTGGTGTGGCTGGGACTCTGCTTGGCCCTGATTCCCAGCATTGCCTCAACATCCAGGTGCACCCTGTGATCTCTCCATTATCTGTGGCACATGGCCGCTGAGCTCAGACCACAGATGGAGCTGGCCAGAGTTGGGGGCATGGTGGTGATTTGAGGCTCCCAGCTTTCCTTTCAGCCCTACCCCCATGCCAGCAGAGAGCAGGGTGGAGACCACTCACTCGGGGGCTCGTCGGGCTCACAGTCCTGGGGGCTGCACGGCTGGGAACTCTCTGGCCAGGTCTCGTGGCCACACTGGTCGCTGTCTTCCTCACGCAGCCCTGTCTTCGTGTTGACACATTTGACTAGTCGCCGCTGAACGCCACCGCCACAGGGGGCTGAGCACTGTGCGAGTGGGGAGGGGGTCAGTTAGCCCTCCAGAGGGTGAGGCACCCCTGGGGCACGTCTCAGTAAGTCCCAGGCCAGGCCTGTTCCTGGAGCCCACTTGGGACTTGGGTTAGCAAGATTGGCACCTGGAAAGGGGGCATTCCTGCTGGGGCACACTGGCTCTGAGAGCAGGAGAGCCTTCCAGCCGCAGGAGAGTCGGGCTGCTGCATGCAAGGCTTCATGATGGAGCCCCGATGCGGAAACATGGATGGAGCCACTCCAGGGCCCGGGAGAACAGGCAGTGAGGGGAGAAGGGAGAAAGCTTCCCCTCAGGGCCAGCCATCCTGAGACAAGCTTTGTTCTCAGTTGGGTCCTAAAACTAAGTTCCATAAGTGCCAACATTTGCCCCCTAACGTCCCTAATGTTCCCCCACCCTTCCCCATGCCACCCATGTCCCAAGCCCTGTGCTAAGTGCCTCCTTGTGCTACTTCATTTAGTCCTCCCAAGCTACTTCCACCAGATGTCCCCATTTCACAGATGAGAAAACAAAGGCTTGGCAAGGCAAAGCACCTAGAGTCAGTCACTCAGCGCACGTGGGTGGGTGTTACAGGGACGAGGGGTGTTAGGTCTCAGCATTCCCTCACAGTGGGACAGGGACTCTAGGGCCCAGCTCTGAACACAAATCAGAGATCATCTTGGTCACTAACAGGCTTGGGAGCGGCTGTGGGGAACATCCTACCCCACCCGTGATCATGCTCACCCAAGGCCAGGCTGGCCTCCCTACCACCCACCCCCTCTGACATCTCAAGTTCTTCATCTCTGCCTTAGGACTTCGCACTTGCTATTCTGTTCTACCTGCTCTGCCCAGCACTGACTCCTCCTTCAGGCCCCAACTCAGAAGCCCCCTCCTCCGAAGGCCTTCCCGACCCTCAAAGTGGTGAGTCCACGTACTTCTCTCGTCTGTTATCTGCAGCCTGCTACACACGTTCCACACAAACAACTCATTGTGCAATGAACAAACCTCTGCCTGGTGCCTGCTGAGCTCCTGCCCCCAGTCCCAGCTTACCTGGCCCCAGGGTCCCACCACCCACTGCGTGCAGGGGTGGGTGTTGCAGGGACGAGTGGTGTTGGGTCTCAGCATCTCCTCACAGAGGCCTGGCTCCGGACAGGTCACCAGACGCTGCTGCTCACCGCCACCACAGGCCTCAGAGCACTAGGAGGGCACCAAGGGGTCAGGGCATGGCCAGGATCTGAGGAAGCCCTATCCCTTGCCCCACTCCCTCCTGGACCTGCAGGTCTCACCTCCCTCCAGGAAGAGATGTACCAGTTGAGGCAGGGCTGGACCCCACAAAGTCGCCGGGCAGGTGGCTTGGCAGGCCCGGGCTGGCAGTGGAAGGGCCGCAGTGGCCGCAGGTCCCTGGTGTCCATGCATTGTACATCCCGCACTGAGGCACCTCCGCCACAGCTGCGGGAACACTGGAGGCCAAGGGACAGATATGTGACCACACCACACCACCCAGGGATAGACGGGGCAGGGTAGGCATTAAGCCACTCCTCCCCACTCCAAAAACCCCCATTCCTGTTGAGTTGATTCTGACCCCTGACAACCCCAGATGTTACAGAATAGCGCTGTTCCAGGGGGGTCTTGGCTATAATTTCACAGACGTAGACGGCCGGGACTTTCCGTCCCAGACCCACTGTGTGGGAATGAAGTGCCAACCTTTTGGTTAGTAATAAATCGTGGGACAAAGCCCTAAAGAGCCCAGAAGAGCCCAGGATCAACCTGGACAGCAGAGAGGTGCTGCAGGACTGCCATGGGATGGGGACAGATGGACAGAGAGGGGCAAAGTGAGTTGTTAAGAATGAAATCCAGAGAAGAGGATCTAGCTAATAGGAGAAGGGAATTGGAACCAGTTGAACCAATGAAATAGAGATTCAATGGCTCCAAACAGGTTAGCAGTCAAAGACAGTAAACTACAAAATATGCTGTAGTGGAGTCTTTGCTGGAGGCTGCTGCTGACCCCAGAACACAGGCTCTCAGAAACCCCAGGGCTCTACCCTGTGTGCCCCCAGGCCGCCTGCCTTGGCTCCTTCCTCATTTCTGCCTCCTCTCCCAGTGTGTCGTACTGCGGTGGTTTGCATGTTGCTGTGACGCTGGAAGCTATGCCATTGGTATTTTAATTACCAGCAGGGTACAGCCATGGTGGACAGTTTTCAGCTGCGCTTCCAGACTAAAAGAAGACCAGGAAGAAGGAGAGATGGACTACTTCAAATATTACGTCACTGAAAACCTTATCAATAGCAGTGGAACACTATCAGACAGCACCAGAATGTTGAAACATGATGAAGACCACCGGAATATTGTCAGATACAGTGCCAGAAGATAAGCCCGTCAGGTTGGAAGGCACTCACAACACGACTGGAGAAGAGCTGCCTCCTCAAAGTAGAGTTGACCATGAGGACACGAATGGAGTACAGCTTTTGGAACCTTCATTTGCCGATGGGGCACAACTCAAAGAGAAACAACTGTAGACCTCCATTAATAATCGGAACATGGAATGTATGAAGTATGAATTTAGGGAAATTGGAAATTGTCAGCAATGAGATGGAATGCATAAATATCGCTATCTTAGCCATTGTTGTTGTAGTTCCTGTCGAGTCGGTTCCTAGTGACCCTGTATAGGGTTTCTGAGGAGCAGCTAACGGGTTTGAACTGCTGACCTTGTTGTTCACAGTTCAGTGCTGATCCTACAGCACCACACCAGGAGTCCATCTTAGACAGTGAGCTGAAATGGACTGGTACTGGACATTTTGAATGTGAAAATCACAGTTTACTAAGCCAGGAAAGACAAATTTAAGAGGAATGGCATAGCATTCATCATCAAAAAGAACATATCAAGATCTGTCTTGAAGTACAATGCTGTCTGTGATAGGATAATACACATACACCTACAAGGAAGACCAGCTAATACCATGATTATTCAAATTTATGCACCAACCACTAAAGCCAGTGATGATGAAATTGGAAGAATTCTACCAACTTCTTCCATCTTAAATTAATCAAATATGAAATCAAGATGTATTCATAATTACAGTTGATTGGAATGCAAAGGCTGGAAAAAAGAGGAAGGATCAGTAGTTGGAAAATTTGGCCTTGGTGATAGAAATGATACTGGAGATCACATGATCGAATTTTGCAAGACCAATGACTTTGTCATTGCAAATACCTTTTTAAACAACATATAAGATGACTATACACATAGACCTCACCAGATGGAATACAAAGGAATCAAATTGACTACATCTGTGGGAAGAGATTGGTGGAAAAGCTCCGTATCATCAGCCAAAACAAGGCCAGGGGCAGACTGTGTAACAGATCATTAATTGCTCAAGTGCAAGTTCAGGCTGAAGCTGAAGAAAATTTAAGCAAGTCCACAAGAGCCAAACTAGGACCTTGAACATAGCCCGCCTGAATTAAGTGATCATCTGAAGAACAGATTTGATGCATTAGACACTAATGACCAAAGACCAGAAGAGTTGTGGGATGACATTAAAAACATCATACAGGAAGAAAACAAGAAGGTCATTAAGAAGACAAAGAAAGAAGGACTGGACCAAAATGGATGTCAGAAGAGACTCTGAAACTTGCTCTCCAGCATAGGAATGCTAAAACAAATGGAAGAAATGAGATAAAAGAGTTGAATAGAAAATTTCAAAGGTCAGCTCAAGAAGACAAATATTATAACAAAATGTGCAAATACCAGGAGTTAGAAAACCAAAAGAGAAGAAAATGCTCAGCATTTCTCAGCTGAGGGAACTGAAGAAAAAAATTGCCTTGATATGCAATATTGAAGGATTCTCTGGGCAAAATATTGAATATGCAGAAAGCATCAAAAGAAGATGGAAGGAATACAGAGTCACTGTACCAAAAGGAAATGGTTGATTTTAAGAGGTTATATGATCAAAAACCAATGATAGGAAAAAGTCCAAGGTGTATTGAAAGCATTGGCAAGAACAAGGCTCTAGGAGTTGATGGAATACAAATTGAAATCTTTCAACAAACTGATGCAGCACGGGATGCACTCACTTATCTATGCCAAGAAATTTGAAAGGCTACCTGGCCTACTGATTGGAAGAGATCCATATTTGTGCCCATTCCAAAGAGAAGTGACCCAATGGAATGTGGAAATCATTGGACAATGTCATTTACATCGCATTCAAGTAAAAGTTTGCTAAAGATAATTCAAAACACCTGCCACAGTACATTGGCAGAGAACTGCCAGAGGTTCAAGATGGAGTCAGATGAGGATGTGGAACTAAGTGCTATCATTGCTGACATCAGATGGATCTTGGCTAAAAGCAGAAAATACCAGAAAGATGTTTACCTGTACCTTATTGACTACGCAAAGGCTTTCGATTGTGTGGATGATGATAAATTATGGGCAACATTGCGGAGAGTGATTATTCCAGAACACTTAATTGTGCTCATGAGAAACCTGTACATAAACTAACAGGTAGTTGTTAGAACAGAACAAGGAGATACTGAATGGTTTAAAATTAGGAAAGGTGTGTGTCAGGGTTGTATTCTTTCACTATATTTACTCAATCTGTATGCTGAGCAAATAATCAGAGAAGTGGGATTATACAACTAACAGCATCCGGATTGGAGGAAGACTCATGTAATATGCAGATGATACAACCTTGCTTGTTGAAAGCGGAGAGGACTTAAAAAATTTACTGATGAAGATTAAAGAGCACACCCTTCAGTACGGGTTACACCTCAATTTAAAGAAAACAAAAATCCTCACCACTGGATCAATAAACAACATACATATAAATGGAGAAAAAAATGAAGTTGTCAAAGATTTCGTTTTGCTCAGATCAACAATCAACATTCATGGAAGTAACAGTCAATAAATCAAACAACGTGTTGCATTAGGCAAATCAATCTGCTGCACAAGACCTTTTTAAAGTGTTCAAGGGCAAAGCTGTCAGCTTGAGGACTAAGGTGCGTCTGACCCAAGCCATGGTATTTTCAGTAACTTCATATGCATGTGAAAGCTGGACAGTGAATAAGAAGACTGTAGAAGAATTGATGCGATTTGAGTTATGGTGTTGGAGACTATTAAAAATACCATGGGCATGGAGGGGATTGTAACCATAGCAATGAAATGATATACTACAGGATGAATGTAAAACTAATGTTCTCCCATATAAACTATCACATAATTCGCAATAAAACATAAAAAAAAAAAAGAAAAAAGAAAATACCATGGACTGCCAAAAGAACAAATAAATCTGTGATGGAAGTACAGCCAGAGTGCTCCTTGGAAGCCAGCAGGGCCAGACTTCATCTCTCACACTTTGGGCATATTATCAAGAGGGACCAGTCCCTGGAGAAGGACATCATCATACTTGGTAAAAGTGGAGGGTCAGAGAAAAAGAGGAAGACCCCCAGCGAGATGGACTGGCACAGTGGCAGCAGCAGTGGGCTCACGCACAGGAATGATTGTGAGGTTGACACAGGTCCAGGCAGTGTGTGGTTCTGCTGTACATCAGGTTGCTGTGTGTCAGTACCAACTCGAAGGCAACTAACAACGCACCTTGCTCCAGTTGCTGGCGTGCCAGGCGGCACAAGGCCGCAGGTGGCAGCGGCGGGCAGGCTGGGGCCTGCCAGCTGGGGCACAGTCCTCTTCCCAGCCAGTGCTGCAGCGCACGGTCCTCCAGACAGCCCCCAGGCCGCAGGTTGTGGAGCACTGGGAGGGGTGGGGAGGACAGAGGCATGTGAAGACTGGGCAGGGTCTTGCTCCCTCCAGCCCCACCCCACCCCCAATCCCAAGCCTGCCCTAGCAAGGTAAATGGAACCTTATTAGCATAATGGGTTCTTCCAACCATCTCCCAGGGAAACTGTGAGAATGAAAAGTCAATCCCCACCCCATCCAGCAACTAAGTGCCCATACTTCCTTTGGGAAAGAACACTGGGCTTTAATCCCAGGGTCTAAATTGATGGGCCACCTTGGATAAATAAAACCTGGCTTCTCTGGGCCTCAGTCTGCCCTCCCAAAGGTTCACTTAGAGGTGCCTTGGAAAAAGGTCTGGTGACTTACTGAGCCAATCAGCCACTGAAAACCCTACAAAACACAGTGATACACAAGGGCTTGCTATGAGTCCCGTCAGCTTGAGGCAACCATCTAACTGGGGTGGAGCACAAAGCCCCCTCAGGCCCTCTGACAAAGCAGGTGGAGCTGCTGAGGAAAATGCCAGATGGAAAGGTGGAGAGCATAGCCTGGAGGAGTGAGAATGAGCCTCTGGGGCCGAGCCGCTCAGAGGAGCCAGCGCACTCAGAGGCAGCTTGGCTTCACAGGCCCTGAAGGCAGGGTTGGGCCCAGGGTCAGGTGTGGAGGCCACCTGCCCAAAAACAACTGGCTGAGTGGGGAAGGGGGGGTGCTGTGAGCTAGTGCAGGAGGAGTTTTGCCAGCTGGCCCTGGGGGGCTGGGATGAGGGCTTTGGATCTGCTCCTCCAGGCTGTCCCTGCTTTGTGCCTGTGCTCAGGAGCCGGCCTCCAGGGCTCCAGTGAGACGAGGCTGAGGGGCTGCCTCCCGCTGCCCCATTGCTCAGGCAGGTCACTGAGGCCTGAGGGGACAGTAAGGTGGGCCTCTAGCCCTGTTCATTTCCAGAACTTGACTGAGCCGAGGTATGCTTCACCCACCTCACAGAGCCTCCACCTCCACTACCCAGTTTCCTAATCTCAGGACTCCTTGCTGGGCCCTGCTCTCTCCACATGGGGAAATGGAGTCACACACCCTGACGCCCACAACACTTGCCTGGCTCCAGTTCCCCACTTCCCAGCTGGCGTTCTTGGAAGCCAGGTCCGCAGGGGACCCCTCCTCCTCCAGGCTGGGGTCCAGAGGCTCGGGGGCACCGCTGCTGCTGGTGGTGGGACTGCTTAGAGGTGGTATGGACGGCAGCACAGTATGCTGGGATGGCTTGGGGTCAGGCGGCTCAGACAGACCCGAGGGTGTCGGACTTAGGGTGGTCACCCATGGCGTCTGCTCTAGGCTAGGCCAGGCTGTTGGAAGGAAGGTCCCTGGCACTGCCTTTGTCTGAAGCCCCCTGGGAACCTGGGTCTCTGGCAGAGTGGCTGTGTGAGGAGGAGGAGGATGAGTCGCCTCCACAGTACCGGGCTGCAGCTCACTGTCCACAGGCCCCAGAGCTGGGTCCCAGGCCATGGTCCTCTGTGTCCACAGCTCCACCATGCTGGGACTAGGAGAGGAGTGGGTGGTGGTGACAGGCAAGGCAGGACGCTGAGGCAAAGGGGACACTTGGGGGTCTAAGGCCTCCTCATTGTCCTCGGAAACCTCGTTGGTCTTCTCCCACCATGGTGTGGATGGCTGGCTCTGATGATCCTCCCTGTTCAGGAACTCACTCTGGTTCCCAGAGGTAGCAGGGGTCCCCATGCCAGGGAGCCCAAGGCCCGGGGCCCCAGTGGGAACATCTTCTGACAAGAAATTGCCCAAGGTGTTCCCTGGAGCCTCCTCCGAGGGTAGAGGCAGGGAGGGGTCAGCCTGGCTAGGCCAAGGGACAGGGGACCAATCCCCTAGTCCTTCCTCCTTGGCCCCAGGATGCTCTGCGGCAGGTGTGGGGGTGTTCCTGGGGAGCTCAGCAGAATGGCTCGGGGGTGGGGGCCTGTACTTCCCTGGGCCCGCCAGGTCTGGGTCTGGCTCCTCATGGATCCCATAGGACAGGTCCTCGTGGAAGTTAATGAAATTGTAATCATAGTAGAAGTCGTCAACAAACACTGGCTCTGGAGGGCCTGGCTTCAGGTCCTCCTCTGTGATGGCGTTGCCCATGCCCACCGGCCTGGGTGTCGAGATGGGCTCTGGCTGTGGGGCCAGGTGTCGGGGGATGAAATCGACTTCATTGAAGAGCTCCCGGCTGGAGGAGCCACTGCCCGAACCTTCTGGGGCTAACATGTCCAGGGGCCGAGGACAGGGTGGTAGGAGGCAGGCGGCCTCATTTGCTGGCCGCTGGGCCTCGTCGCAGGGGACACCAGTATCATTGGTGCAGAGGACAGTTCGGTGGTGGGTGCCTGTCCCACATGTCACCGGGCACTGCAGGAGGGGGTCAGGGTGAGGGGCTGAGATATGGCAGGGTATGATGTTCATTGCCAGGTCAGCTCAGGACCCTGGCTTGCTGCAGTGACTCCCAATACATCCTAGTCCTTGAGGACCCCAGGACCCCTTAGCCTCCCTCCCACCCACGGTGCCAGGTACTAACGGCCCCATGAAGGCTCTGTCTCCATGGAACCAAAGACAGGTGGAGCTAGAGGTGGACCCGTCCTGGCTCCCTTCACACCAACACTCACCTGAGACCAGTTTCCCACAGCCCAGGTGGCAGGACAGGGCACATCGTGGTTGCAAGGGGTTTCGGAGGGGGGCGGGGGAAGATGTTCACAGGCACGTGACTCTAGAGCACTCTGCTCGTCCAGCGCCACGCTGCGGATGCAGAGCACTGACCGCCGGGAATAGCCCCTGGGTCCACAGGAGCTGGAACACGGCTGCCACTCGCCTGCCCACCACCTGGCACGGGGCACACAGGAGGCATCAGAGTGGGCTTGGTGTGCTTACATGCAGCGAGGGCCAAGCCAACCTGGCAGGCCCTCAGTTTGGGGAGGGTCAGGTCAGTGCCCTGCCACGCAGTTCAGCATCATGCCATTGTCCCCGTTGCCAAGGAGGTCTGGGTTCAAATCCTGACCTACTCACCCAAGGGGTCCTTGGCAAGCCCCAAGACCTGTTTCCACATCCAGAGCCCCAAAGAGGAGATGACCAGGGGGAGCCCAGGCTGGGGTGGGGGGGCTACTAGGAGCTGAGGCTTGGGCAGAGAGACCCAGAGCCCACCACACCCTACTCTCCTTGTCTGAAGTGGAGGAAGCAGCAGGAGGAGTGGTGGTCGGGGGTGAAGCTCACCGAGCTGGGCAGGGGTCCTCACTGCATTTCCTCTGGTGGTCATCGGGCCGCCCCAGGGGGTCACAGTGTCCCTCGTCCACCGGCCCTGTCTGCTGCTCAGTACAGTACACACTCTGCCTCTGTATGCCTGGGGAGGCCACAGGAGCTCAGTCTGAGGCTCCCCCCTGACCCTTGGCCACACCCAAGGGCTGCCTCAGAACTAGAATCAGACCCACTGCCAGCGAGTTGATTCTAACTAATAGCCACCCTATGAATGAGTCAGCTGCTCCCTAGGTTTCCCATAATCTTTACGGGAGCAGACACCATCTCTCTCCCTCGGGGAGGCTGGTGAGTTTGGAACACTGACCATTTGGGGAGCAGCCCAATGCTTAATCAATGGCTCCACCAGGGCTCCTCTTCCCAGAACAGAGTTCAAATGTCTCTGTCCCAGATCCCTGGACACCGATGGCCAAAGATGGGGAGATGGCAGAGCAAGGCTTCGATTGCTATAAAAAGTCACCGCCTATGAGTGGACCCCAACTCCTGGGGACCCTACAGCACAGAACTACCCCACAGGGTTTCCAAATCTTCACAGAAGCAGACTGCCCCATCTTACTCTCCAGGAGCAACAGACAGAATGCCGACCTTCCAGTTCTCAGCCGAGCGCTTAAACAGTGCTCCACCAGGGCTGCTTCGGGGAGACTGCTATACATTTAATCAAGACGAGGGGGCTTCCGAAAGTTCATGGAAAATTTTCATTCAATGTTCTTCCATAAACTCTTTGAAGCCCTCTCATAGGGAATGTGGTGACTAGACCATTGGGTTCAGAGGCTCAGGGACTGGATGGAAGATCTTTGTCCCGTTCCAGCCTCTCTCCTCTCTGCCCCTGCCATCTTGGCCTTGCTCCTCTTCTTGGAGCTGGGTGCCCCCCCCAGGAGGGGTCCCCTGGGCAGTCAGTCCTCTAGGCAGGAGCTGGAGAAGGGGCGTGAGCCCACCCTGACAGATGCCTTCAGGTGAGGGTATGAGAAAGGAGTCAGGACTAGAGCAGAGACACTAACCCTGGACCACACAGAGCAGGGAGAAAGACGCAGTCCCCACCATGTGCCTTACTGGCCTCATCTCATTGAACCCTGGCCCTAGGAGACAGGGGCTACTGCTAGCCCCATTTTACAGATGGGGAAACTGAGGTCCAGAGAATCAAAGTTCCAAACACACAGTGGCCCAGCAAAATAAGCAGGGTGCTGAAGTATGAAGCCAGGTACCCCTGCCCAGTGGCAGGCCCTGTGCCCTCCTCACCTGTACCACAGGTAACGGTGCACTCAGTCCAGGGCCCGTAGTGCCAGGAGAACTCAGGCGGCTGGGCCTCACCCTCTGCCTCCCTGTGGATGGTGTACTCATACCGCACCCCAGGGTTGCTCTCCTGGAACAGCAACTGGGGAAGGCAGGTGGGGACCCCGTGAGCACAGGACCTGCCACCCAGAATAACCACCCTAGAGGAGCCCACCCCAGCCACCTGTGAACTGGGGCTATAACACAGCAACATTTTAGAGATGGGGAAACTAGCATAGGCCTCAGTAGAGCCAGACCCAGCGCCTGCTCCAGGGTTTACACGCTGCCCTGCAGGGCGGAACCCTAGAAACCCATCTCTGCTACCACAACCGCAACCCTCGGGAGGCAGCCACCTGGATCCAGACAGGCTCAGCAGTGGGGCCTGGAGACGTGAGGTTCTCCCAGTTGCCCGTGCGTGCGTATGTGAAGGTGGTGCCCGCCACCTCGTAGTCTCCATTCCATTGGATGATCCAGCCACCATTGAGGAAGTACTTATCCGGGTCCTCGCTCCTCAGGGCCAGGAAGTTGGCAGCCTCAGCTACCTCCTCGATGTGGATCTCGCGTGCCCCAGCTGGGATCAGCCCCACATCCACATACCCTGTTGTGACGGGCAGGTACAGTGGTCTCAGGGGCAGGAGGGGTGGCTGTCCCCCGTCTGTTGTCTTATATTTCTCTTCCTGCCAGCTCATGCCTCAGTGGCCACCATTAGCTTCAGATTCTGAGCTGTCCTACATCACCAAAACCTTGGAAAAGAGTCTCAAATCCTGCCCACATGTTACATCACTCTTCTCCCAGGGGCCGGCATGACCTTTCTGAAAAACCAAACTGACTGGGGCATTCTGGGGCACCCTCCCCACCCACATGGTCATTTTTGTTCTTTCACTTAGAGAGCACCCACCATGTGCACTACTCTAAGCAGTTCACATATGTTAAGTGTAACAATTCTACCAGGTAGGCACTATTGCTATGCCCATTTTAAAGATGAAGAAACTGAGACACAGAAATGTTAAGTAACTTGCCCAAGGATCCTACTGGGATATGAACTAGGCTGCAGGGTCTGTGTTTTTTAACTGCATACGACATTGCACTTCCTGGTGTGGTGCTTTAGGATAAGCACTAGACTGCTAACTACAAGGTTGGTGATTCAAACCCACCAGTGGCTCCTTGGAAACCCTACACAGGGTTACTATGAGTCAGAACTGACTTGATGGCATGTAAAAACAATACGGCATCTAGAAGCCCTGGTGGCATTGTGGGTTACAAGCAGGAGAAACATGTCTGCTCCCATAAAGATTTATGACCTCAGAAACCCCAGGGGACAGTCTTACGCCATCCTATATGGTCAGTGTGATTCAAGATCAACTAGATGGCAGTGCATGTTTTTATACCGCATCTCCAGGATGAAATGTTAGCGTCTTGGAGTGGCATTCAAGACCTCCTTTGGAACAGTCCTCCCTATCTCATCTGCATCCTTGATGACTCAGCTCAACCTCTGCCTCCTCCAGGAAGTCTCCCCTGACCTTCCCGACCCCCAGCACCCTCTGCCACTCAGAGGTCACTGGCTGTTCTGTCACCTGTCATAGCTCCTCACCTCCACATCCCCATCCCTCATCATCTACCATGTATGCAGAACAGGGGTAGGGGCGTGAGCCAGCAGAGGGTCTCAGAAGCTTTATAAGAAGACAGTACTACACTACCAGGGCCAGGGACCACCCCCAAGCTTGGCTGACACAACCTGGGTCCTGGGGCAGAAGGGCTCCCATCAGAACAGGTGTTGGCACCTGGGTGGAGGTACCCCTCACTTCATCAGGAGGCCTGAAGCAGGCAAGAAGGCTCCCCTGTATCCCATCGTTAGCCTGGGTGGGGATCACAGTGCCAAGGGGAGGGGCTTGGGGGAGATGAGCAACCCCACCCCCCAGCTGTGCCACCCCATACCGAGGCCCTCAGCCTCCTCAAAGGTCCTGCTCACGGTGTGGCAGGTGGAGCCGTTGCCATGACACACACCGCAGCGGTCCTCGGTGGCACCAGAATCAATCTCAAAGTCGCAGCCGACATTCTGTAACACAGAGAGGGGGGGATGTCCCTCGTGTTGGGCTACCGGCCTCTCGCCCCTGGGGTGTGCCAGGGTCTGCAGGGGCAGACCCTGGGTCCTGACCCAACACAGGTGTGACACCTGACTCCAGATACACCCTGCTCCAGCCTCAGTTTTCTTAGATGTGACATGGGAAGATCAATCTAGAAATTACAGGTACGTTGTGAGGGTCCCATAGAACAAGAGATGGGAAATGTTTTCTAAAAGGCTGACGAATCTGTTCATGGATTTTCCAGAAGCAGAATTCAATGTCAAAGCTCACTCCGATTGGCACCATCCCTGCTGGTCCTCCTCTGAGCCCCCAGTGGCTTCGTTCTCAGAAACCAAAAGCTGAACCCATTTGCCACTGATTTGATTTCAACTCATAACGACCCTACAAGGTTTCTCTATCTTAGAAGCGAGTGTGGTAAGACTTCAGCTACACACTTTGGACATGTCCCTGAGAAAAGGACATCATGCTTGGTAAAGTGGACTGGGGCAGACAGTGTCCAGAGGAGGCCTGGTGCTGCTGGGGGGCTGGGGGTGGGCAGTGGTGGGAGACCCCTTGTTCTATCTAAGTCACACCTTGCAGATACCGTTGATGCAGAGATCACGGCTGGGCCGGCCCTGGTAGCAGGGGGTACCATCGACCACTGCGTCCCGTAGTTTCTCAGCAAAGTACTCGTTGGAGGGCCGGCAGTGAAGTTCGCAGGGGTTCACTGGGGACCCAAGTGAAGGAGCCATCAGGGACAGGCAGCTGGGGCAGGCGTCACTGAGGCCGCCAGGAATACCCCACCACGATTCGCATCAACGCGGGCTCCCAAACATGCACACACGCTGGAGGCTCCACCCGGGCTGGTAACTGTCTGCAAGGCCACAGAATGGGGAGCTAGGAGGGAGCGGCAGCCCCAGGGCATTGTGGGGGCCAGCCCAGAGCTGGGCGAGGGGTAGGACCTCCTGTCTGAGTTACCAGGTGACCTTGGGCCTCCCCATAGGCAGCAGGACTCACCATCGTTGACCACAGGTACCCAGGTGTGCAGTTGTCCCTTGTAGAGCATAGCATCAAAGTGGCTGCACTGGACGTGGCGGAAGGAAGGATGGCCGGGCGGACAAGCCTGCAAGTTGCACAGACGGAAGCGCTTGCGTTCGCCCACGCAGTACTTGCCCTTGTATTTGGGTCTGTGGGGAGAGCAGGGTGGGGGGCAGAGTGAGTGCACCATGAGTGCCTACTGTCTGCCTGGATTCACAGAAGTAGGTCCTCAGCGTGAATAGCCTCAGCCTGCATCCCTAACACCCAGAATCCAGCCTCTCACCTTGGCTTACATTGTTCTCCCCTCTGGGCAGCCCATCCTTTGGCTCAAACAGACACTTCCCTATTCATAAGGACCTAAGGGAAGGTAGCCATAGAAAGCCAGGACTCTGCCCTCAACCTGCTGTGTGACTGAGGGCAATTGTGGGCCGTCTCTGGTCCTCAGTTTTCGCATCTATAAAATAGGTTGGGACTACTTCTGCAGAGGACTGTTGGGAGGCTGGAACAGGTTGCAGATGTGGCCAGCACTGGCTGGAGGGTCTTCACCGAGTCTCCAGCCTATGAAACACGGCCCCCTAATGGACCCACATGTCAGCAGATGTGGCAGCACCTCAGACCGGGTCAAGAGGAAGCCCTTGGCTGAGAAGGCTGTCCCTAAACCCCAACTACATATGGGCCAGTATGCCTTCCCCACCTTGGCTCAGACTGCAGGCTAATCCCATGCCACCCAGAAGCAGCCTAGTCAAGAGGGGCTCGTGCAAAGGAGCCGGCAACCCCAGCTATAGTATTCCCATCTCTGCATCTCACTGAATCTGAGGCCCAGAGAGGTGCAGCCACTCACTCCAAGTCACACAGCTGCCCATCAGTGCTGCCCAGTCACCCATCTACCTCCAATCTCATCTCAAACCCTGTTTCTACCTCTGATACTGCTAAGCAGAAACTATTTGCTTGAAAACTTCTTTGTTTAAATTTATTGCAAATAATATTTTTTACTAGAGGCAACCATTTATTTATATTTAGTTTTCAATGTATTTATTTATCTCTTATGGTACTTTTTCCCCCTCAAAGTATACTGGCCCTAAAAAGACACTGACATTTTGTCAGGAGCTGTTGAGATTATATATATATTTTTTTTTTAATGGTAAAAGTATATATGTAAAATACAAAATTTGCATATTCAGTATTTTTTAAGTGTACAGTTTAGTGACATCAATCATATTAATCATGTTGTGCAGCCATGATAAATATCCATTGCCAAATTCTCATCATCATAAGCAGACACAATAATCTCCCCGTCCCCTCTGGCACTACTGCATTTTGGTCTCCATACGTTGAAGTTGCTACAATTTGCTGAGTACCTCCCATGGACTAATGCTTTACCTGCAGTAACTGCCCTTTCCCTGACAACAGTTCTATTAGGTGGGGCCGCACTGCCAGGATAGGGAAGGTCTGGGGTAGAGAGGGGATCTGAACTCTGATTGTCTACAATCCAGGATCTAAGCTCTTAACCACTGCCCTTTCCTGTGACCTTCCAGCTTTGTCACATGGTCTCCCCAGGAGCGCCGCAGGGACAGAACCAAGCTCCCCTCCCAGTCATCCAACTCTGCTTGGAGCCCTTGATCCCACCCCGCCGCCACAGGTCCCTGGGGTTGGCACTTACACAGGCTGGGTACATTGCCGCTCGGCGTTCTGCACGCCCACACCACAACTCCGTGAGCAGACAGACCACGCGCTCCAGCCAGACCACCCTCCATCCACGGCCTCAGGCCGGAAGCCCACTGAAACGCACTCCCCATTGAGACACCACTAGAGAGAGAGAAGAAAAGTAAGAGCAGTCATCTTCACCGGAGTTAGAACAAGACAAGTGGAAAGGCCTGGGAAGGGAGGCTCAAAGGGCGGGGGAGGGGGGGTTCCTCACAGTCACCCAAGACACAAGCCCCATCATGGAACTGAGCAGAGAATGAAACGGTCTACAATCTGCCTTTCTTGGAGAACCACAGGGACTTGGTTCAGAGTGGGTTGGAACTGCTGAGAGGATGATCCGTGAGCCAAGGCTGATCCCAGGTCATCACCTACCTTGCTCTCCCCACACCTGGTACCGTCCACGGCTGCATCCAGCTTGGAGTGACAGGTTTTCCCCACAGAGCACCAGAGAGTGTGACAGACATTCTGCGAAGAGGAGGAGCATGCGACCAGACCCTCCCCGCTTCCCAGGGCAACCACCACCCTGTCCTGGGCATCCCTGCATGACTCATTGGGAAGGAGGTCTGCAGACATAAAGACTCTCATTGGTCCCCTCTTGTTTCTGCTCCATCTTCCTCCCTTTGCTTTCTGACTGGACGGTGTAGGAGGGGCTTTGGGTAGGTCCCGAAGACTCAGGTTTGGTGCTCAGAGCATCATCTCCAGCCAACCCACAAGCTCTCAAGTCCAAGCCCACTTGTCTGGACAGACGATGTGCATGCCCATCAGTGCGGGTCACTGTCCCCAGGACCCCACGTGTTGTTAAGGGCTGTCGACCTGTATAGGGTTCCTCAAGACCCATCTGGGGAGATTTTACTTCCCTTTTAATAAATCAGCTCCAGGAAGGTGGAAGGACTTGTCCTAAGCCCCACAGTTAGTAAATGGTTGACCCACAATTCAGACATAAGTCTGTGGCCATCGGATCTGAGGCCATCGGATTCCTACAGGCCTCACAGTGTCATTGTAGGGCTGGGCTGGGTCCCTCCAAGGCTGTCCTTCTGGCAGTGGGACCCCAGCCACCCTCTCCTCACCACCACTCCCAAGCCCACACCACACATGAGCCCCATACTCACATCCATGTCATTACAAAAGGTGGAGTAGGCCCCATACTGCAGGCGGCACTGGTGACTCACATCATACAGGACACCAGGGGGCACCGAAGGGAAATCGATGACATCCTTGGTGGGAGGGTCATCCAGGCATAGACCCCACCCACGGCTGCAGAGACAGAACAGGACAGGATGAGGGAAGACATCTGTGGCCCGAGGCAGCCCATGAGGCCCATGAGTGGTCCTAGGAAAGCATGTGAGCTGGGACTGGGTGTAAAGCTCTAAACCTGCAGGAAAATAACACTCTCCGCCTTCAGCCAACACTCCTGGCCTCTCCCACCATGGCACTACAGCCCCATTCCCACTGCCCGGTCCTCACACACACTGTTTCCTCCACATACGGCTCTAATTCCACCCACTGAAGGCCTCACTCCTCAAGATCCAACCCAAGGGCCTTCCCTCAGTAGTCCCCCTGGATCGCCAAGCCCTCAAGTGTCCCCTGTGCTGAATCCCTGCAGGCTCCCCCAGCCCAGCCCAGTTCCTGGACCTGGCTGTTCCAGACAGGGATCTAGAGAGCATTACATTACAGCTGATAGAACAGGACTGCCCACCTGGGGCTGAAACATTGGGTCATCTGTGGAAGGACCAGGACTTGAAAGTAGCCACTTGCTTAGCCATCAAGCTGTGAGAACCCAGGGGCAACTCTGGCCCAAGTCCTGCCCATCCCCAGGCCGTCCTTTGTCATGCTGCATCAGACACAGACGTCCGAGGTTCAGCTCAGCAGCCACTGCCACTAGCTCACTCTGTGACCCTCTTGTACCTGAGGCAGGGGTCACTTGTGCCCTTGCTACACCAATTTCAGAGTGTGAATGCACAGGCCTGCTGGCCAGACTGCTTTAAGGCTCAATGTAGTCCTGGGGAGTTTGGAAGAGGGTCTAGGGGCCTTCCTGGGCCAGGTAGCTAGGAGAACTCAGCCAAGGGGTGGAGGGAGGCAGAACCTGTGAGACTTGAGCCCCATGCCAGGCAGGGTAAGGCAGGGCAGGAAGAAACCCTCATTTCTAGTCTGGGAGGTTTGGAGGAGGCTGGGGCCAGATCAGGGAGGAGGACAAGCAGAGGGCCCAGGAGTTGCAGACAGCCGTACTGGAAGCCTAGAAGAGGGGAAGCAAGGGTCTGCAACTGAAGACAAAGGTCTGGGGGGCCCTATACCAGAGACATGACCAGGGTCATGGGAGTCCTGGAAAGGTTCAGCTTGGGCTCAGCACAGGAAGGGAGGTGAGAAGGGAAGGTGGCAAGGGTGGGGGACACCACAGGGATGGAGGCCATGGGATGGGGGTAGGGGCTCTGATCATAGCTGCTTCTCACTGACCATTTATTTCCCTGTCCTGCCCACACCCTCCCCCTGCACCCAGCACCCAGCACCCAGGCCACAGGCTGTGGGCTTCATACGTCCTCCTCAGGGCTCACTGGTCTGACCAGGCTGGGCCAGGTGGACTCACTGGGCAGACCAGGCAGGGCCTGGTGGACTCAGACAGGTGATGCAGTAGAGCCAGGGCCCTAGAGTCATCACACCTACGGGCTCACTCTCCTGAGGTGGCAGAAAGGACTGAGGGGGTGATGGAAAAAGCAGGAGCCACGTGGACACTGGGTGTGCTTGGGACAATACTGAAGAGTGTGCTTGGGACAATACCGATGGACCCTCTTCGAGCTCTGGTCTCTCTGCCTTTGAGACTTCAGAGGCCCAGCAGGAGGCTACAAACGGGGGAGGACAGAGAGACTACAAGGTGGGCCACACCGCCCCCTGTGTGCCTCAGTGTCCCTGCCTGCTGAGAGGAGTTGGGCTTGAGTAGGGACAGAGCAGGATACTGGGAAGTAGAGATACAAACCCTGCACCCTCCTAAAGAGGTCAAGAGACTGTTTTCAGAAGCCAAACCAGATTTTTTTTCCCCAAAAAATGAAAAATAAAATGGGAAAAGCTCAGCTATTTTGGCTGGAGCTTGGGAAGGGGCAAAAGTTCCAGGTTGTGACCCCCTCAACAGATGCTTGCACAGTGAAGGAAAGTAATATGGGACAATTTTAGAAGAACAGCAACAGGCATTTCAACAACCCAGCCTCCATCAGGCCTAGAGGCACCTGCCCTGTACTCCACCCCTGCTCTCCAGCTCCCACATTCTTGACCCCATTTGTGCCTCATACTGTCCCAGAAGCCTCCACCTAACCTGCCTTGAGTGGCATTAGCCCTGGTTCTTCTTCAGTCTGTCCACCTGTCCACACCCACCCCAGCATCCATTGCCTTTGCCCCTTTCCTGGGCCCTCAGCAACAACTTCCTGCCTGTGGTCTCCAGGGCTGCACCCGCAAGATGTTGGTGGCTTTCCATACTCGATATTAATCCCTCCTGATAATCACTCCCACCTCAAAAGGTGTCACCCTTTCCTATGAATGAGGACATCGGTTCTGAGAGACTCAATGACTTGTTCAGGGTGGAGTTAAGTCAGGGCTGGAGCCCACAAGTGTTCAGCTCCACAGACCATGTGCTCTTGCTGTCTACTCTGCTCCGAAAGTCCAGTGTCCAGGCCCCAGTGTCCCTCTCCCTGAAGCCTTAAGAGGGTCAGAAAGGTCTCAGCAGGGCCGTGATTCCTTAGTCAATAATCAAACCCCCAAACCAATGACCTTCAAGTCCACTGCTGTGAACAGCAGCCCCATGAGTTACAACGAAGACCTGCTCCAAAGGGTTTCCTTAGCCATCATCTTTCTGGGAGCAGGTAGCCAAGTCTTTGTGCCAAAGGTTCAAACCATCAACCTGTAGGTGAATGTTATTGCTGTTGTAAAGTGCGATTGAGTCGGTTCTGACCCATAGCGAGCTTGTATATGGTTTGTGATGGGCAGCTGGTGAACTTGAACCGCTGACCTTGCAGTTCAAACAGACGTTGCAATCCAGAGCATTAACCCACAGTGCCACACAAGTACAAACCGCCACACAAGCGCAAACCGTTTGCGCCAACCAGGGATCTATTGTTATTGTTGCTGTTGTTACGTGCCTTTGAATCGATTTCAACTCAAAGCCTGTATAGGGTGTCCGAGGCTTTAAGTCTTTGCAGAGGCAAGCCTCATCTTTCTCCCATGGAGTGGCTGGTATGCTCGAACCACTGAACTTGTGGTTTGCAGTCCTGTGTTTATCCTACAGAACTCAAGAATTGTTATGTGCCGTGGAGTCAGTTCCGACTCATAGTGACCCTGTACAGGGTTTCCGAGGCTGTAAATCTCTACGGGAGCAGAAAGCCTCATCTTTCTCCCTCGGAACGGCTGGTAGTTTCAAACTGCTGACGGTGAGATTGGCAGCCCGATTCATAACCAGTATGCTACCAGAATGCCTTTTATTAAGCATTTACTTTATAGAGTCCTGGTGTGGCGCTGTAGGTTAATGCACCAGACTGCAAAGCCATTTGAACTGCGAGGTCAGTAATTCAAGCTCACCAGCTGCTCCTCGAAAACCCTATACAAGGTGGCTAAGGGCTGGAACCAACAACAACAAGGCCTTCTGCTAAGTGCTCTATAAACATCAGTTCATTGATTCCTCTCAACAAGTCCACAATTTACAAACCATTACTGCTGTTTCACACTGAGGAAGCTGAGGCTCCGATAAGCTAAACACCCTGCTCACAGCTCACAGCTGTGAGTGAGTGACAGCCAGCACACAGCCACGTCTGAGATTCCACCAGAGACGCTCCTTCGACGCTTGCAAGCCACCCTCAGCCCTGCTGCCCACAAAAGGCAGGCCAGGTTCTGCTAGAGCTCATTGGACAATCTCAGACTCGTGTTGGATTCTCTCTGGATTTCACCCCATAACCACCAGTTGCCAGCAAGTCAATTCCAATTCATGGTGACCCCGTGTGTGTCACGTGTACAACTGTGCTCCACAGGGTTTCCAAAGGCTAATTTTTTAGAAAATGGCCAGGTCTTTCTTCCAAGGCACCTTGGGGTGACCTCACACCACCACCCTGGAAGGTCTCTGGGTCTGTTGTCACATTTGTACAGTGAACAGCGAACCTGGATGGTTTGGGGTTGGGGGTTGGAGCTATTTCGGTGAGGAAGGAGATGGACAAGGATCCCTGGACACCAACTGCGTGACTTTACCAGGGACACCAATGTAGACAAGGAGAAATCACATGGCAGGATTGAGGGCCTGGGCAGGAGCTGAGGGCACAGCAAAGAGGGGAGTGACGATGCATCCTGCAGTGGACGTGGGGACGTGGGGCTCAGGCTAATGCTGCTGAAGGCTGGTGTGGAGAGACTGGGACACGGGGAGTTCCTATCCTGGAGTTCAGGGCTCAGAGACAGAGAGGTCTGGGAGCTGGGACCTGGTGTGGGGTGGGTGGTCTGTGTGGTTTCCTAGTCTCCCAGCCAGTGAGTGGCAGGGCTTCCAAAGGAGAGCTAGGCTGGGGCTGTATGTCGGAGTCAGGTCACTGAGGGGCTGGGAAGAACAGGTGATGTGAGCTTGGAGGAAGCGGCAAGAAGGAGCAAGGCTCTGGAGGTAGCCACACATGCAGGGGTTGCAAGAGTTGAACCGCATGGACTCAGGCTGAGGGGGAGCCTAGGCAGAGGGAAAATGCTAAATATCCAGGGGGGATTGTGGGAGTGGGGCATCCAGGGGCTGAGCTTACTGAGGAGAAGCAAGCAGCCCAATACAGTGCGGCAAAGATCCCCCAAGATGAGTTGGGAACAGCAAAGAAAAACAGGAAATAGACCCTCAGGACTTGGGGCCCAGAACAGGCCAGGCTCCAGGCTCCACCCACAGCTCAAGGAACAATGTTTTGGTGACTAGAGTCTCGCTAAGGACCCTGGAATTACCCGGACCTCCGGTGCTGAGGAAACCAATTCCTTTACCATGGGCGGCATAAATGAGCTGTAGCTATACCCAGCCCTCGGCACCAGATGGTCCCAGGCCAGGCTGGCCCTGGGTGCTGAGCAGGCCCCTCTCGTGTGTTCCTCACAACACTCCACAAAACAGCAAAAGTCTCTGTCATTACCCTGTCCTTAGACACAAGGCCTAGAGCAGTATAACTCTGTCTCTGGCCACACAGGAGGGAGGCAGTGGTCAGGACTTGAAGCTGGCCCAGGCTGCAGCCTCTGCGTTGTGTCCACTTTCGGCCTGTCCTCAGTGGAGGATTCCT